AAAATCCGTCCATGCATAACTGAGATCCAGGTCTGGAATGGTGAAAATATGCGATTTTGATGCATTTTCAGCCTTAAAATGGCCGCTATTCGGCTATCGTTAATCGGATCATGAAAAAAATGCATGTGCATATGTCCCATATAATGTGTGATGTATGAGTGAAGTTTGAACTTAATCGGTCCATGCATGTTCGAGATACAGGTGATCACGGACGCACGCACGCACGCACACACGCACGCACGCACAAAGGGCAAAACTTAAGTCCCCGTTTTCGGACTACATCCGAACGGGGACTAAAAACCCCATAGAATAGACACCACAGTGGAATAATATATACAAATGTTTCAGCATTAGTTTCTATTATTCACATAACATATAAACATTAAAAATATATGAGATGGACAACGCTACTTTGCATAATCCGTTTTATGAATATTTATGACTACATTTTGACAAGGTTCAAAAACCAGCCACTGACATTGAATGCCAGCATAGAAATGGACAAGATGTTGGCCTTTGAGTTGGAAGTTGTGAGTTTGAACTAGGGCAGGGCCATTTGCGTATAAGTACCATGATATGAATGATGTACAAAACCCTGTAATGCACAACCCTGTAATCAAATTGTAATAGAAAATGATGTTCAACTTTTTATTGCTCTCAAATTCCCATAGAAAACAATGTACAACTTTTAATTATTGCACTCATGTTCCCATAGAAAGTGATGTACAAATAGTATTAATTGCACCGACATACCCTTCTATATTCAGAAGTCCTTGAGACAGGAAGTTTAATTTTGTGCCCTCGCAATGCTTTTCAAATTATGAACTAGCGTTTTAAATGTGTGATTTTATTTTATCTTGACTTTTATTGTGAACACATATAAATGCTATAACTATTTGGGTCATTTAGAGTTCATCGCTGTCGCTCATTTGCAAGCTCGCAATCTTCTTTCCTCCAATTCTAAACTCTACTTTTTCTGCTGAATTATCACGATTCATCATGGAAGTTTTACCGACGGTGCTATGGATTTTACAGTGCACCTCGTCTTCCATCAGTTCGTAATCTCTTTGCTCAGCTAGCTTAAGACTGACCGAGGGATCACTGGAAAACTGAGGCATCATAGCGCGTGAGCTGTATCTGTTTATGTCATAATCAGGGTTGGCATTTCTGTACAACGGGGTTGTCGGGGGACTTGGCGGACCTGCCGCTGTAGTTGTGTCTATTACATTGGTAATGGTATGGTAATCATGGTTGGTTAGCGGACTGACAGGAATTGAGTTGTTGAACACGCTTGTGTCAATTGTATCAGTAATACTTGAATACGTAGGTACGCTAGTGTATGGTTTGGGTTTTGGTATCTGTATTCTGGACAAGGGATCATCAGGAGTAAAGCTGGAAAAGCTGAAGGCAGACATAGCACTGTCCGAACTACGGCGACTATCGTTATGCATAGGTAACAAGTTAACATTCCCAGCACCGCCATGCAGAAGTGAAGACATTCGCATATCAGGGCCGAATCTATTGAATGCACACGTGGCTTCACTAGGTAATGGCATCTGTAACACGGGAAGCCCTTTCGCACTGTGAACTTGCTTTCCAAACTGCGAAATCTGTCTTATAGGTGGCTTGAACTCCTCGTCGGACTGCTCATCTGCTGATTGGGCCGATCCCTGCATTGATGCCCACCGTTCAAATGTACTCTTTCGTTTCTTTTTTAGTACTTTCTTTGGTTTTTCCTTCTCTGGTGAAGGTGAAGTTACATCTGATTGGTCCTTTGTACCATACACATGGTGCTGTCTCTCTAGTTTACTCTTGAAAGACATCTTTGCATCCTCTTCGCTGTGAGTGCTTTCTTTCTCCTTTGTGGTCGTTTCATCACTGGCCTGAGCAATTAACTTTTTCATTGGATCCTCACTTTCTTTGCTGCTGATCTTTGACAACTGCTGAGGGCTACTATCAACAGATAAAGAAATCGGCGAAATTGATTCTCGATCCTTCGCTGATTTACAGACTTCTTCGCTATGCGATTGAAGGACTTCTTTTTTTCTTGGCGTCACCGCCTCAGCCACCTCAACTGCAGCACTGCGAGGAGAGAGCACCATGTCACACAATTGCGATGTCAGTATTTTTTCCATGGAATGCACAGACGTTATGGTTTGCATAGCAATTTGTTCCAATCGTGTCAACCTCTGATCCACAATATGCATGGTCAATTTTGTCCTATTGTTCTTTTCATTGACCTCATCAAGCTTCAAGGACATCGCATCAGTACTGAAGAAGAAAGTAAAGAGAAAACTGTTTCATTTAATTTTTCAAATAGATCATCAACTTACTAACCATGCAAAATAACTGCTTGTCTACATCATTTTCAATTTTGCATCCATGATCACACACTACCTAAAGTGTCACAGGCAGCTTGAAGCAATTGTTCAAAAGTTGTGACTATTGCCTCAAGAAGTGCAACTGAAGTATGAGAAAGCATATTTATGGAACTATAAAGATCTGCCAAATGACAACATATGAGTTGATGCACTCTTACCATTCGTGCATTGCCATGACAACATAGGAGTTGATGCACTCTTACCATTCGTGCATTTCCATGACAACATAGGAGTTGATGCACTCTTACCATTCGTGCATTTCCATAACAACATAGGAGTTGATGCACTCTTACCATTCATGCGTTTCCGCAATCCTGATCTCATCACTGCATCGCATCTTCTCTTGTTTCGTCCGAAAATAATACTCCATACATTCCTCTTCAAAATCAAACACTTTCTCAACATCCTCCTCAGTTAAAAAAAGCTCTGCAAAGAAAAACAGAGAAATCACAGTGACTTTTTTGACTGTACGCGTTGATTATGTGCACTTCTATTTGAGTGCTCATCAAATACAACAACTTGTCTCAAACTATTATATCAAAGTATTTTTGATAACAAATTACCAAATGGTTGTGATCATCACACCCATACAAAAGTGTTTAAATTCTGTGCAAATCACCATGATATTAGTCCCAAACGTGTTGCTATGCATAGTAATGAATCAAGCCCAATGCACTGTTTAATGAGAAGACAATGATCCACCCACTTGTCAAAATAGTAAAAAGAACATCGCAACAATCTCAATAAATCTAAATTAAAACAAAATTTTTAACAATTTTAAAAAAAAAAAATAAAAAAAAAAAGTTAATCAATTAAACTAAATTATTTTTCTGAAAAATAATAACTGGCAGTTAACTTACTGAGACCCCGATCCAGCGTAGTTGGGCGGAATTTCCGACAACGGCGAAATAAAAATCTAAAGAATGTGTAAATGTGACTGATGATCATTAATGGTGGTGCAAGCACTGCGGTTTGTTCATATTCCATTACTAGACGATATCTCTGAAACTTCCATATAATTCTAGACATTGCATTGATTGCGGCAAATGTGTTACTGAAACAAAAGAATATACAATAAATACATATAGTTTAGTGATGTATAATAACCTAATTATTCAAGTTGGCGTTTGATTTGAACAATCAAATAAAGAAAACGAAAACTTGTGATACTAATCACCAAAAAGCCACAGTGAAATAAATGCAGTCATGGTTGAAATTGACGTTATCAACTGAGCACGTTCTTATTTAAACTGTTTCATTTACTGATCAATGTCCTTTAGTTACATCAGTTCTATTTTTTAGTAACATCTCACTAAATGTACAACACTACTCAGGTTTTCAAGATATTGAGAATACAATTTACTGATAACTTTTCATTAAAACACCAAGGTCAACGTTGTCAGTTAATTGTTGTTGGTGCAATCAATATGATTTGCTAGTGATGATTTGCTAGTGATGATTTATGATTTGATAGTGATGATTAAAATTAGATATCCTAAATTTAGCTGACATACTGTAAACAGTACGTAATTAAACAGTTTTTACACTTGAATACATGATGACTCAAATCTCAAAGAGCTCAAAATATGTAAAAAGAGATTAATTCAGGTATTGTCATTACCTGAGCATTTTATCGACAATGAAATTATAGAAACGATTGGAGATTTTCTGTTCCCTACAAGATCTCACGTATTGCACGGTCAGCGAACACTAAACATCTGCCACAAAAATCAAAAGATTTGATTTTGAATCCTTTTTTTATAACTCAATGTTGAAATGTCAATTTTTGAGAAGAGAAAATTGCGTTAAAATACCCTCACTTATCATCAAATGTGTATCAGACATTAATAAGCATGGAAATATCCCTAATTCACACTTGTTGATTTCCATGCAATAGTTTGAGATCATTACAATCCTACCTTTGTTTTTCATGTTCAATTTTATGCATAACATAGTAAACAGATAATTGTCTATATCAGGGCATGGTGCAATTGGTTTTTTTGTCTACTGATTTGTACCCTTCTGTAAAAAGTGAATCAGAACATGATACTCACTTAAATGTAGCAATAATCAAATTTATAATTAATATATTTGCAACCAGTAAAAACAGTGTCATGATGATTGGTGTAATCCAGTGTCCGGTCATACAGGCAGGAAGATCTGGATCATCACCGCATGGTGCTGTCAGGAAAAATCAGCAGAAAACGAATCAGAAATAATATATGTACATTTCCAATTAAATATTAAAAATCTAGATTGCATTGTGCAAATGTAACTATGGTAATAAAGTTAATTTGAGCAATCAGCATGAATACATTTTTAAATATGTGCATTAATTGAAGAATGAATGATATTAATACATATGTAATGATGTGTCAATATTCAGGTATTTGAGTAAGTGTCATAGATGACGTACATCATGCGTTGAAAGTATTTTATTTGTCATATGTTTTGCATGGGACCCATATTGAAATTGACAAAGTGCAATGACAAATCCACTTTGATGTTTACTATTATTTTTGCAATAAGACAGTCTTATAGAGTGAATTGTGTATGTTGAGACCATGTGACAAAAACCAACAATTGTTGCGGGGCAATGATGTATTTCATTTCTAATAAAACTCTTTCATTTTTAGCTATTATAGAAATAGATTACCATTAATCTATGTTTAAATCTAATTTAAATATGGTAGAGCACACATAGACGATGAACAACTCACACTATTGGTGAGTCTGGCTTTAATGTAACTCTCAAGTGCATTTCTTTATTTGGGGGTGTCCATTCAGGTGTTCTCCCCTCTCTGCCAATCTATGCAAAAATATTGAAATCGTTGTTTTGGCTTTATCTTTTTACAATATTTATTTATGGTAAAGCAACATTTGATAGAATTTCAAACAAAATACTTGATAAACATCCGCTGGATATACTTACGATCAATTTCAGGAGCGAACACTTCGCCGTACAGCATAAAGTATGGCTGAAAAAATATTTCCCTCGCTAGCAACCAATGAGGGTCTTCATCAGGTTTCAGTATAGCTTGCTTAGCAACGCCAAAACTCATCAATATAACAGTCAATATCAATAAAATATATATCATATCTACAACCTGTGATAACGAAGAAAGTTTTTATGAAAATAAAATGATGGTGGTGATAATTAATCATGATGTAATGCATTAGTGATCTGTCAAAGCAGATGTCAAAATCAAAGGTATGTGGGTACCTAGTAGCCTAGGAACAAACAACATACTGTTAAAGGGTTAATTATTCACTGGGTTTTAATTTTGCTTATTTCGCTGACTGGAAAATGCACTAAATTAATATGTAAAATTTAGCATAGAACACATTATCTAAATGATAAAACTGTGAATTTAAAACACACTGAATATGCCCGAAATAGTAAATCAGTGAAATTTAAACCCAGCAAAAATTAGTCATTTTACAGCAATACAAATTAATGTGGATTTGGTATTTAGTTTAGACAGGTTTCATTTAAAAAAGACCTATTATATATAAACAGAAGAACTGTGTGAAACCAAACAACATTGTCAGTCCCTGTGGTATTCAGTTTAGAGCAGTTTTACTGAGCAAAAGACCAAAACAGAACACGTCTGTAAAAACAAACAGTTTTCAGTTTAGACAGGTTTGACTGCTGATTGTCATAATCATAAGAAACGCTATATATAACTTACCATTTTTGGGATCATGGTCACGTAGGGACCGAGGTATTTATTAACACTCATGATATCAAGTAATCTTATATACCAAAATATAATATCTATACAGTAGATTACTCTACCAGTTGCCATGGTTGGGGGGTTGAAGCGTAGAAAAATACCAACAATGAACAGCAAAATTGCCATCGTGTCTATGATGTTCCAGTAATCGCTATAAAAAATCTTCACTTTTGTACTTAAGTTACCGGTTTCTGATTGAAATAACTGAAAAAAAAAATTTGAATTTCCTGAAAATCATATCATGGTAATATGTGACTCATCACTTTGTTGAAGTAGCAGTCGCTGTTATGACAGTAGAAAGAGAAGTGTATCACACAATCATCAATCAAACAATGAATAAACTTGCAATTGCTGGAAACTGAAAATTCGATCAAATAGTAAGAACATTTAGCTGAGCGAGTAATTACTATTACAGCAGACTCACCTCCCTTGTCTTCTCTATTGCTAGTGTTATGATGTAAATGATAATGTAGCACTCCTGCCACCGTGGTGTTGACTCCATTCTAACCAGGACCACATAGTTAAAGATGGCCAGGTATAGTATATAAGCCATCTGGGAACCAAACAAACCACAGATATGCAAATGATGTACTTAATATGCAAGAACTGGTATAGATTCAAGGACATACTGCCAGAATATGAAGTAACAGAATACCTGTCTATATAGCAGCATAACAAATAATAAGTAATTGCATTACATAGTCACTGTGAGTTCTCAAGATTAAGAAATAAATAAGGCTCGAACAGAGAAGTCAAAGATAGCCTAAGAGCTAGGGTTCCAAAACTGTATTCACTAAAACAAAAAGACCAATAGTCAGCCATTTTTAGTCTGATCTGACAAACAAAGTGATGTACATTAAGGTCCCATAAAGTTCAGTGAACATAACAAGAATCTGTCTATGTATCACCAAGATCCAACCCAGAATTGCAGAAATGCTTAGTTTTGATTAATTTTAACATTAAAATGGCCATTATATAGTGAATATATGACATTTGAACATAATCAGTCAGAAACATGGCTTTAGAACCACATAAAATGGCCACCAGTCGACCATTTTGAATCTGATCTGCATCAAGTGCTAATGTATGTCCAATGTATGTACCAAGTTTGAACAAAATCCATCTAAACAGTCGAGAAATGCTTGATTTTGATGATTTTTCAGTACAAAAATGGTCGCCATTCGGCCATCTTGAATCAGATCAGGAAACAAATTGATGTGCATATCTATAATATTATGTATGATGTATGTGTGAAGTTTGAATGTAATAGGTTCATGGACGCACAGAGGACAATCCATAATTCCCCGTTTTTTGAACTACGTCCAAACAGGGACTAAAAATGGCCGCCATTCGACCATCTTGAACCAGAATATGAAACAAATGAACATACACATGTAGCCGAAGATGTATGACATATACGTGAAGTTTGAATGTGATTGACCCATGTATGTCTGCGATAAACATGAACAAGGACTAAAAATACTTACAGTATGCGCCCAGAATTTAGTGACAGGTGCATTGTAAAATTCATAAATCTTCTTTCCTAGTCTGAGTTTGCTTTTTTTGCCATTATCTGCAGCATCATCTTGTACACCCAATATCATGGCTGCTTTCTGTCCTGCATTCACAATACCACTGGCCATCATACCAGTTTGTTCCTAAACACATGTAACACATATTAAGTCAATAGTCTATAACTGAACTAGAACTGTTTCATCACAGATTATGTAAGTGATCCAATCTGTTGTGAATACATTCTCCTTTATCTCTTTGTTAGTTAACATGATTTTCCATGAACCATTGGGTGACATCATTAAGATGTTAAAATAGAAATCTATTGACCTTTTGAACTCTGACCTGTTGAACTTCAAAATCAACTTTTGTTACCCTTCACAACATAAGCTTGCAGAATTTAAAATTTTTGACCACAAAAATTTTGACTAAGCCAGTGTGAAATTTTGTCTAAAATTAACGAAAGATTATTGAAAAATAACAGAAAAATTTGCAAAAAGTTTCACAAAAATGATGGCGCCAAAAAGACATGAGCTGCATTTTGAGAATTTTTTTTTGATTTTTTAATAGAAAGAGACAACTGTTGTGACACCAAAGTAATAACTCAAACCAAATATGACCTACACTAGCATGCAAAAAGCTAGAAATAATCTGCAAAAAAAATGAATCTTTCAGCTGCCTAGGTGATGTCTAATGTGTGCATCACATATACATCCTGATATTTAAAAGCACTTTGTACATGTATGATGTATATGTAATCACATGCAATGCATGCAGGACATCAACATGGGTAATCTCAGGACACACAATTTTTAAGACCAAAATTTACTTAAAATGCATACAATGTATATCTGCTGACTACAATTGAAAAATATTTGTCTTGCATCCATGTTTTCAAATTCAGAGCTGCATTGTCAAGGTTACGTTGTTCTTCTCACAATTTACATATCGAAAAGGGAAGACATGAAAATGTCCCCCTCGATAATAGATTGTGTGAATACTGTGTAGAACGAAAACAACTTTATGTTGAAGACGAATATCATTTTATAGTTATTTGCCATGGTTATCAACGTATTAGAGCAGAATTTTTGCCTGTATGGTTCCGCACCAACCCCACTTACAACAAATTTATCTCGCTCATGAGTTCAAGAAACGATGTAATTTTAAATCAGTTAGCGAGTTATGTTTATTTCGCCATGAAAAGCAGAACTTAAATGATTTTTGTTTTCTCTATTGTTACAATTGTTAAGTGAAACTGTATTTGCTCTTTGAGCCAATGGCCTTTTGCTTTGTAATAAAAAAAAAAAAAATATATAAATGCTGTAGTCCACTTGATTGCGGTGTAAACCGGTATTAAACCAACTCTCTGAAATCAGTTGCAGATTATTGTGGGGTGCAGTGGAACTCA